ATCTATATAAATAAGTTTTATAAAATAAGATTAACTTCCCATTATTCAAACTAAACAAGTCAAACACATTAATGGTTTCAAACAAAAACAACACTCACACACTTGTCCCACAAGATACCTCAACTTACCTCATCTCCCTTCAAAACTTCAGTACCACCAAATTCACGGGTCTGATTTGTCTTTAATGACACTTCTCTCTCTAGGCTGGTTAACTTCTCCTTGGCCTCCTGAAGTTCCTCAGCTTTGGCTTCTTTTTTACGAGAAATGATAGATGCCTAATTGAGCATTAAATATGAATGTAAAATAAGACATACAATCAACTTTATACTATCTTGTGAAGTTATCTATAATATAGATTTTACTGAGTTAAGTTTTCAGTATCGGCCTGGTTTCTCCTAACCAATTCCTACTACACACCATCACCAATTATGTATTTAATATGAGCATACAATATATACTAAATATCCACCTAAAAACATTTTGGAAGACAAAAGCCCTGAAAATATACGACATATAAGCAGAGAAACAAAAATGTGCTAATAATAAAAATATTAAAGTCTTCTTAAGTAACACTCAAATACTAATGAAAATACATTCTAGGTAAGTAAATAGAAGCTAACACTAAATTTGTTTTTTTTTTGCATGGTGGGTTTCCTTTCATTGGAAGAAAATAAGACTGCTTTATTCTTAAAACAACAATACAGGTCGTCTTACTGAATTCAATACATATATTTCTAAAATGAAATGTTATAACATCTACTATATTTGGGGCATTCTAATAAATAAAATGCAAGTTCAAACCAAACATCTGACTCACCAGAATCATATAAATGTTTACACAACCCAAATGGCTCTTAGCCATGAATGTAGCATTTTATATTAGCTAGCAACTCTTGGGAGATTTCTTTTGATGAACCATGGCTGCACTGGTTTAAGAAAAACAATAGCCAAACTGCTTTCCTAAGTGAAATGCTACAAATATTTTTTTTCAGGTTGGGTGGGATGGCTCATGCCTGTAATCCTAGCACTTTGGGAGGCTGAGGTGGGAGGATTGCTTGCGCCCAGGAGTTTGAGACCAGCCTGAGCAAGAGCGAGACCCCGTCTCTACTAAAATATACGAATTTGCTGGGCATTGTTGTGCATGCCTATAGTCCCAGCTACTCGGGAGGCTGAGGCAGGAGAATTGGCTTGAGCCCAGGAGTTGGAGGTTGCAGTGAGCTATGATGATGTCATTGCATTCTAGTCCAGGTAACAGAGAGAGACTCTTTCTCAAAAAAAAATTATTTTTTCTTCAAACAAATTTGACAGGAGAGGAGGAATATCTACCGCAAACCCTTAAAAAAATTCTATTGTCCTTCCTGTTTAAAAAAATGAAGATAGGTGATGATAAGGAAATGTTTCACTCGATAGTTCCAGCTTAAAAAATGAAGAAGGAAAAATAGAATACCAGAATTATATAGGAATTGATGGTATACTTCAATGATAAAATAAATAAATATAAACTTCAGCCCAAAACCAGGATCTTATTTAATAGGGAAACATGAGGGCATTTCCCACTAAAGTCAGGAACATGATAAAAATGTCCACTACCTCCACTACAATTTAATATTGTATTGATGGTATTAGCTAATATCATTAGACATGTGAGAGTAATTAGAAGCATAAGAATTTGAAAGGAAAAATTGGAATTTTCATATTATATAGTCATGTACCTAAAAAACCCAACAGTATCAATGGAAAAACTATAGCAAACAAATTAATAGCTTTCACAAATAAAATAGTCAGAAGACATAAAGAAAGAAAAGGCCCTCACTTATAAAAGCAAAACAGAAAGTAAAATATGTAAGCATAAATTTTATAAGAAGAGTTTCAAAATTTATAAGAAGGTGACATTCTGGGAAGATGGTGGAGTAAGAAGCACCAGGAATTTGTGTCTCCACGTAATCAACAATTGCACTGGGCAGAATCTGTTATGTAACTATTTTGGAATTCTGGAGTCTACTGAATGCTTGCAACTTCCAGTGAAAGGCTTGGACAGTAAGGGAGGTTAATTTCAATCAATTTCAGCCCTTAGCACAATAACAAGTACCCATCCCGCACCCCAATCCCATGCATGTGTTCCTGTAAGAGCTTGCACATGGCTTGGTGGAACAAAGGTAGGCAGAAAGGACCTTGTCTTCCAAATATTTGGAATCTGCCAGGATTGCTGCTTCTGATCGTAGAGGCACAGACAAAGAGGGGAGGACATTGTTGTTGCATCTCCTGGAAGTAACTTCCAGGGGATTTAAAGGTCCAGTGCTGTTTCTTTCTTCTTTTCATTTTTCTCAATTTCCCCTTTCAGAAGCTAGACATTAAACATTAAGACATTAAAAAAACAACTGCATATATGGGGAAAATTAGAAAGTAACTACACATGTCCATGGAAAGGTGCAGGTTCACAAAAGACCTGAAATGGCTTTAAGTGTACACTTCAGGTTGATCCTTGGCACAGCCTACAATAATCAAAAAACAAAAATAAAAAACGGCCAACTCTAGGAAAGAGAGGGAATCTGATTTCCATAGTTACCACATTATTAGATTCAAATGTCTACTTTATAACAACAAAAAAATCACAAAGCATACAAAGAAACAGGAAAATATAGCACATTCAAAAGAAAAAAATAAATCGACAGAAACTGTTCTTGGAAAAGATGTGATGGCAGATCTACTAGACAAAGACTTTAAAACGACTGCCTTAAAGATGGTCAAACAACTAAAGGAAGATGGGAAAGAATTCAAGAAAACAATGTATGAACAAAATGAAAATACCAATAGAGAGAAAAAACCTAAAAAGAAAACAAAAAGAAATTATGGAATTAAAAAGTATAATAGTGAAATAAAAAATTCACAAGAAGGATTGAAAGGCAGATTTGAGTAGGCAGAAGAATCAGTGAACTTGAAGACAGGACAATGGAAATTACTGAGTCTGAGGAACAGAAGAAAAAAATATTGAAGGGCTGGGCACTGTGGCTCATGCCTATAATCCCTGTGACTGAAGAGGCTGAGGCAGGAAGACTCCACAAGGCCAGGAGTTCAAGGCCAGTCTGGGCAACATAGTGAGATCCTGTCTCTACAAAAAATTTAAAAATTAGCCATTGCATTCTAGCTGGGGCAACAGAGCAAGACCCTGTCTCAAAACAAAACAAAACAAATCCCTTCCCCCAAAACCTAAAAAGCATATTATTTTTAACTCTAAAGTTATAAGCATTTTGATTTATACTACCTATGGTAAGCTTTCACTTTAAAAATAAAATTCCACACTCACAGATGTAAACACAAACAGCTCTATCACAAGTTAGCAATGTTAAGGAAACTAAGCACCATCACGTACATTGCATTTCAAATTTGAACATGTGTCTTTTGTGGCTTTACCGCTAATTCTCTGTTATAGTCTTAACAATGACAGATCATTTATTCTATACTTCCTTCTCACTTTAAGACTATAGATAACACAGCTGGCGGATCTAACTAACAGATCTAACTATGTGGGCCAAAAGAATGTTCTTACCTGTTGCCTATATAGTGAGAGTTTGCTTTCAATTGGCTCATTTCTCATCATCTTCTTTTCAATCAGCTGATTGATCTGTGTGTTTATTTCATTTATCTAAAACCGTATGAAAGTAAAAAATGTTAAGACTCTCCTTATGATTACACAAACTAAGTGACATCTGGCCAAACCCAGCTTTGAATTTATAGTTCTTACCATCAGTGTTTTGATGGGAAAACCATTTGCCTTAATGTTATGGATTGTTATGATTACTTTTAGAAACAATTTATATTTCATGATACAACTTGATTACTGATATAAATTTTACCACCCATGTCTAAATTAACCTAAAGTATTTTACATGAAATATTTATACATTATTACCACAAAGATGCTTTCCAAAATTCTGAAGTTATCCCCTCACCTAGGTCATGACTTTCAAGTCACCACAAGTGATAAAGTGAATCTGGACAAACATTCCCAGGAATTTAGTACAAAGAATTCATGAACCCAGCTGAGTTGACATGGATGACATCTAAAAAGCCTTCCTATGCTAATGATCTGTGATTCTTTGATAGCTATCATTTATCCTGGTCATTAATCTAAACTTTTCCAAAATGTAATAAAACTGAATAGACCCAACAGAAACATACAGTCCCTTAACAAAAACAAAACAAAACATGGCTTTCAGTATTATCTGTCCTTTGAAAGAGTAGAGTTTTCCTGTTAATTCTATCACATTAAATTTGAGCCAAATCTGACTTGGATATCTAATTTTTCTAAGTAAATTAAAAGAGTAAAATGGCCAGAATTATATAATTAATTGTAGTGGCTACAATTAAACACATTATTAAACACATTAAAGGATTAGCAAGTCAAAACTTTTCAATCAATTTTCATGATAGCTGTTATTTTTAAAAATATATACATCTGGGCCAAGCACAGTGTCTCACGCCTATAATCCTAGCACTCTGAGAGGCCCAGGCGGGAGGATCACTTGAGCTCACGAGTTTGAGACCAGCCTGACCAAGAGTGAGACCTTGTCTCTACTAAAAACAGAAAAATTAGCCAGGCATGGTGGCCTGTGCCTATAGTTCCAGCTACTAAGGAGGTTGAGGAAGGAGCGTTGCTTAAGCCCAGGAGTTTGAGGTTGTAGTGAGCTAATGACGATGCCACTGCATTCTAGCCTGGGCAACAGAGTGAGACTTTGTCTCAAAAAAATAATAATAACAAATAAAAATATATATACATCTGATTAGTATTTTAATTCTAGGGAACAAAATATTATGATACCAGGTTTTAATGAGCATTACAACTAAATTTAATAATTCCAAGGTGGGAACAAAGACTAATAAAAAATATTAGCTTTAAATATAAAATTGTCATAATATTCTTGGAAATAAAAATTAATGACACTTAAAATATTTTAAAATTTGCCATCTAAATGATTATATTAGGAAGACATAAACTTATGAGACAATTATATGCATTAATTTATATATTCAAGTGACTTAGTTTCCTTACCGCTCAACTAGGCTTTCGTAACATCATGTGGATTCAGTATAACATAACGTTCTGTAACTCCTCATAAAGGACAACTCCTTATAAGAGTTGTCAACTCTTAGCACAGGTTAACTTAAGAGTCAGCGTGGGACACTATAGAAAGCAGTTTACATAATTTTTACAGGACCAGGGGTGAGATAAAATTGGGAGCTATAAAAAGATGATTGTCACTTACTTTAGATTCAAGTTCAAGAAGATCAGAATGGCCCATAGCTGGCTCTGAAACCACTTTTTGTAAAAAATGCAATTCCTTTTTCTTGTTCTCTAATTCTTTAGGAAATTTTTCAGTTACCATATATGAATTAAATTTTACCTCCTCCTCTAGCCTCTTCATTAAACCTTTAAAAATAAAATAAATATTCAGCCCAAAAGAGTAGGTATAGTGATATTCTGTATACTGTTTTAAATATAAGACCTGGATAGTAGTAGGGCATATCTGCCAAAACATTCTTTATAATATCTAGCATAGTACAATAAAAGATTGGCCATTAAAATCTTTTGATGTTAGAATGATAATGAAGCGCAATTTGCATGGAATAATATTTAAATAATTATAGAAAAAGTGATATTATGATCTTTCCAAATTACAACCTAATTCTTTTATATCCCACAATATGCAAAAATAACATTTGCAGAGCCAGATATATTGTTGTTTCATATATTGCCTTCTAAGTATTTAAAGAAATCCATGAACCAAATGGCAACACTTAAATGAAATCTAACCCAGGTGCACTTTTTTTGTTTGTTTTTCATTTTTTGTTTTTTCATTTTCTTCCTTACTTCCTATCTTTCAGAGGATCAGGTGCACTTTTATACAAATAGTCATTTATTCTTTTTCTTTTGTGATACTTTTGATGCAATTTATATATCTGTTCTAATACTTCATAAATGGTAATTCATTATCATTTGTCAACTTCAAACCAATGAAGACATCACTAAAGGTACAATCAAATTCTAAAGAAGACAAAGTATCCACATTCATAAATGTTTTAGGTTCTCCATGTTTTTGAATTTTTTATTTTGTAAAGTATTAATTTACAGTTAAGGGGAAACTTAAATTACATTTTTTTAATTATTGTTTTCTTATTTTTTCAGATGCACTATACACACAGATTTTCAGTGAATAATGGTTTTGTTATAAATTCCCAGAGCTTTACAAAGTTTATTTCAGATCTTTCCATTACACACTTACAAATTCTGGCATGACATTTTAAAACTCTGGGTTTCTGGGCCAGGCACGGTGGCTCACGCCTGTAATTCTAACACTCCGGGAG